TTTTGGGAGTACTGGTAGGTAATTAATTTTTTTCCTAAAAAATGTGTCAAAGTTCATATCAGTTTAAACATGTTATTTTCGATAGTTGATGACGTCATAATGACAACTTATCATTCACTTTATACATGTAATAAACAAACTTTTGAAAGAATTGAAGAATTGTACTATTGTTTGCAATTGGCTTATATTATACAACCTCCTTAATGCAGGCGATGAAACCAAGACCAAAGTACTGTTCCTGCTTTGCTGTGCATTTTTGTTATCATCTACTTATCTTTCACCAGATCCGTTCTACGAGTGATCAAGGAGAAATGCATTATGGTAATGTGATTGTTCTAGACGTATTTATTTTATCAAGACATCATATTCTATTCATATTAATTGGTGAGCGTTGTCTTCAAAAACAAATTGATATACTCCCTTTGGATGAACAATGTTTGTAAAAGTTGGTTCACATTTACGATGAAAAGTTTTACAATCAGGCAAGTAGACGTACACACGAAGACATAATTGTTGAAAGCCGTACAGTGACTTATAGTTGTTAATTTCTGTGTCATTTGGTCTCTTGTGAAGAGTTGTCTCATTAGCAATCATACCACATCTTCTTTTTTATATATAAGGAAAGCCAATGACTTTGTTCCAACAAAGTACCGAAAAAACTTTATGTAAATAAAGGCAACAGTAGTATACCGTTGTTCAAAAGTCATAAATCATTCACTTGCTTTGTGCATTGAAATCGACACTTTCACCTTTATGACGTATAATAGAATAATATATTGAATGTTGTTGCCTATGATATACGAAAGGAAAGTAAGTAACTTCATAATTAAGGCCAGAATGTCTTCGCCCTTATAGTATAATGTGATCGTCACTTGATTTAATGTCGTATAAATCAAATTACAAAACAACATTTGATTCTGTAAGAAATATCATTTGTAAAATTTGAGTATTAACAATTACTGTAAATGTAACCTCTGTTGTACATTTATTAAGCGGGGAATGTTAATAAAACATTTTAAATAGAACTAAAAATGCCTAAATTACAAAATGTTTCTTTCTTAAATTTTTTTATGCAACTTCAACACCTAGCATGCATTTGAATGTGTACCCGGTATATGATAAGATGAGGCGTATGAACCGTTGCCAAGTAGAAGCGAACATAAGACTACAATAAGATGAAAGCATGGCTCATTCGCTATGCTCCTTTATAGCTATGGCATATACAAATGTGTAGCAGAGGCAGAAAATCTTATAGGTTTTGGCTAAAAATAGTTACTGTAAAGTGAGAAATTGTCGAGAGTAGGTTGTTTTCGGTCATTTTGCGATTAAGATAAAATCGCTAATCAACTCCGTGTCGTTAATTTTATGTTTAAGCAGGATTATCATGATTATAATCAGAGACATAAAACACGAAAATAAAATTGGCGTATAAGTTTGTCGACTAGAAATCGCGAAAATTTTCTGAGAAAATAAATAAACCATTTTTACTATCTCCTGTGGAAATATTTGTCAAAAAATGAAAACAACACGTGAAATAATTGCATGCGTCCGAAGCGCTTTCCTTGATTTACCTTCATCATGAACGCTCAACACCGAATGTTTGAAAGCCGATGATGTATAAGAAACGAAACAGTTGAAGAGCTATATGACAAAACAAACCCTAAAGAAATAGCCTAATTCATCTAAGGTCAACTTTACCCGAGGGAGTTGAAACCTCAGTTTTTTTATAATTTCAAAATGTATAAACGGACAGTTTTAGAAAGGTTTGATGTAAATCATGTCAGTACCAAAGTACTGACTACTGTGTTGATGATGATTAAATCCAAACCCTATTGTATCCCCATCTTTTAATGTTTTTTTAGTTATGCTTATAAGTACGAATGAAAAGTGAAACATTGAACGATAAGGTATCTTACGAGGATGAAAAAGTCGGATTTGCTAAATTAAACATGATTGTTTATCACTGCCATAACATGTTTTCCCTTTTTGAGTCAGCGCTTGAAGTAAGCCAAAAAATATTTCAAATTCCCATGTTTGTTTGCTATACAATTTAGGTCATGTAAATAAAACGGTCAGACAAAAAATAATTAATCCAACCTTCGATCTCGTAAGATGTATATTTTTTTTTCTAGCATACACCTCCATATTGACTGATAAAGGACTCATAATTCATCGATCCAACCACTTCTTGCAATAACCAAGTTTAAAAATAACATGTTGAAAATATTGGTTTTTTCACAACTAGTTTTATGATATTCCCTCACATTTTCCTTTCTTTTAAATTTCTAACCATGCTGATTTTCGGAGATGATCACTAGTGATTTATCTGAGAAAACATAATGAAATAATTGTAAAAGTCTAACTTCATTTAAGTCATCATTATAATTGAAAAAGTCATTTTTGTAAGATGTATTTCTATTTGTATCCATCTGATGAGTCAAGCCTTCTTCAGCTGATTTTTATAGTCCTTTCTTATGTTGTACTGTTACACCACTGTCCCCGGTTGAAGGGAGGGTTGGGATCTCGCTTACATGTTTAACCCCGCCACATGTCGGGAGTCAGGAGCCTGCAATTCAGTGGTTGTCTTTTGTTGCTGTGTAACATATTTGTTTTTCGTTTCTTTTTTTTAATTTTTTTTTGTACATGAATTAGATCGTTAGTTTTTCTCGTTTGAATTGTTTGACATTTTTGATTTCGGGGCCTTTTATAGCTGACTATGCGGTATGGGCTTTTCTCGTTGTTGAAGGCCGTACGGTAACCTATAGGTGTTAATTTCTGTGTCATTTGGTCTCTTGTGAAGAGTTGTCTCAATGGCAATCACACCAAATATTCTTTTTTTATATTCTATCGTTTTAAACATCGCTCCTTTCTCATGTTTCTGAATATCAGAATAAAACCTTAAGGTAACACATGCTAAAGTTATTTATTTTCATAAATTAGAATCAAATTTAATTCAATTTAATAAAAAATCGATAAACAAGAAGTAGATATATGGTAAATGCAAAAACGTTATACGCCAGAACTCAGCTGACTAAGTAGTCTGACTAAAGTAATTCTATTTAGTACCACTGCAGAATGATTTTTTTTTCTCGTTCTATTGTTTGACATTCTGTTATGTCGGAGTCTTTCATAGCATAATATGCGAAATTGGTTTGCTCATTGTTAAATGCCATAAGGCAACCTATAGTTGCTTACATCTACGTCAGTATGTCTCTGGTTGATAAGTGTCTCTTTGACAATCATACCACATCCTTATTTCATTTTACGTATTATTTGTTTCCCTTCCGTGTTAGTTTTCTCTATCACGTAATATAGATACGAATATTAATATGTTTATGCGTCCTAGGCATGATTTATTTTCTAATAATAACAAGGGGGTTATTTATTTAATAGGCATCGTGTGATTTAACCCCCAAAAATCGTATATGTTTCTTTGTTATAATGTGGATCCGCATTTAAATAATCTTATAATACTGTATGTTGCTGTTTGTATTTCTTATTTGTAATTTGCTGACGTCTCATTGCTGGAAATCCAAGATTTCATTTACATATAGAAAAACATACCAAAAAAGACATAAAATATTATGTGAAAAACTATAAGCAATCTATAAATAAAATAAGAGGTTTACGTATCCGTCATTGATGTATGGAAAATAGGTCATTGGAATTATTATGTCCTTCGTAAAGTCCAAGGATAACAATCAGTTTCCGCATAATTATTGAACGAATGATTAATACATACTCAAGAGGTTATTGAAGTTAATGGCCTCTTGATAAAGTACAATCACTAAATTTATTTTCACAGATGATAGCGGATATGTTCTAATTGTCGTAACTACAATCCCGTCCCTTTTTCCCGAATGTGATCTACCGAATTAGACTTATTACCGGGTTTGTACTAACACGAGCAACATGACAGGTGTACGTCTGCTTGTCGATTTCTTTTTTAGCCATGGCGTTGTCAGTTTATTTTGACCTATGAGTTTGAATATACCTTTGGAATCTTTCGCCTCTCTTTGACAGTAGAATTGATAAAAAACTAGTCCGATTCTACATATACCTAAGTTTTTTTCTCAATGAAAAGTAAAATTATAACCTTCATTAATAACGCAAGTGTATGATACTGTAGCATAACTGCCAGAGTCTACCCTTTCACGAAATATTTTTAATAGAACTTGTTTTATAAAATGTGCCCTGATCACCAAATAAACAATAGTTGTTAGTTGTATAAAAGGCATAACAGCTTATTAAATAGTGCTTTTCAACTAGAAGAAACATATATTTTTCAAAATACATCTTCAATGTTGGAATTGTAATGACGCATTGCCAGTTTTATTTTATTTTTTTTATTATTTCATTTTAATTTATTATTTTTTAATAGCTTTGGTGACAGCTCTTCATCTCTTCATTTAGTTAAAACCCAAGCCAATTAAAAACTGTAAATTATCGTTACAACCTTTATAAAGTGGTGATGGGTATGTTCAATGTATGCAATTATATACTTTATTGCTATATTTTGCACGTTTCGTTCATACTCACCATACTATGTCCGAGATTCTCAATAATAGATTATCAATGATTTGAATATCGAAATTATAAATTAAAACTAGTTTATTTTTATATTTTCAACAAATTGTTTAATAAAGAGATAAAAAAAGGTTATACAAATCCTTAAAACAAATTTCGACAGCTATCGACAGGATTTAATAAAATAGATTTTTTTGGCAGCAGATACACATGCAAACAAACTAATATCCATTCAACTAAACATGGCAAACTAGTTCAGTCAAATTTTATTTTATTTGTTCTTTTTTTTTCTCCTTTATTTCATTTTCTTTTCAATTAGTTTTTTGGGTTTTTATTTGTATTTTTTTCTTTTATTATTTTTTTTATATATACATATGCATACTTTATTGTAACACAGTCAACCCTGTTCGTCACAGTTTCATATAATTACTCGCCAAAATGTAATACTAAAAATATACTAAGGAATGAGCGTATATACATAATATTTATATTATATGAATTTAAGGCGCAATTACTATATAAGTAAGCCGCCTACCAAAACCAGTAATAACAAAAACAACAGTAAAATTTTCTACTAACTTAATCCATAATGTCAGAATATTTATTCTGATTTTTGAAAATAAACTGTATTCTCCTGTGCATTTATGATACTGGTTTGTGTGCTTGATCGTTCTGAACTTAGCCCCTGTTCGAATGTAATTTCTATTGATTTTAGCGCATGATAGGGATTCAGATAACCATCACTGTCTATTCCACAAATGCCGATATCCCCAGACGAACTTCCACTGTTTCTCACGTCATGCCCATTATTTATGGAAGATTCCCGATTCAAAAAGCCATCATCTACTTCATCGTACTCGTGTGTCTCTCCTTGAGGCGGATAGTTTTCAGATACATTGGTATGTGTTGTGTTATTGTGATCTGTACCTTGCCATCTGTTCTTGCAAGATAATTCATATTTCCAGCATATACAAGTCAGAGAGAAAATTACTAGTGACACTACTATAAGTAAAATCAAACCCTTGTAGATGAGTTCTTCTATGTTGGGGTGGCCTATCAAAAGATATAAGGATAACATAATGAATGCACACAAATGTTCGGTTATTTTTCAACCTTTACCACATAGTTATTTTTATAGGACATTTTGGATTGAGATACATGATATTTTTTTTAATTAAAAAAGATGGCAAAATGCATTATATTGCATTTAAAGATCATGACTATCCTTCTTGATGTATACTTCATTCAACTGATGATTAGTGTTTTCTACTATCTAAGCATACAAATGCTATTCTAGTTTTCTAGAAAAAATCTCACATTCACATTGTAAAGAATTTCAAAGAAATCTAAAACCAACATGGAAATAAATATAATGTATGTACTTAGTGAAATTCAGGATATCTTTTTAACTTTCAGAAGATATTTTGATGAATACCGGTTAAGAAAAGTTACATTCAGTATAAACCGTTACTGTCAGCTTCTATTTTATCTTATAATACAAAACCAAGTAAATTTTATTATCAACTGAAATGAAAAATCGAACATTTTGAAAATCAACATGAAGTTACAAAAGATTCTTGCATAAGCAGAAACTGTTCCATGTATTGAATATAAATACTCATGTAAAATAATTCATTCGGTACGACTAATGCATTTTAAAAATCATACGGGTTTGAAAGGTTTTATGATGAATGATATTTCTGACTATTCAACGGTTTCACAAAACCTGTAAAAGTTGATTGCTCACTATCTTTAGTTTTAATGTTTCAAGGTATACTCTCTGTGTTTTCTCTAAAAACAAATTACAGAAATAAAGTTTAATATTTATTTCAACTAAATGCTAACTTTTATAAATATATACATTTTTTTGTTTAATTTCAATCAAAATATTTACTCAGAATTTCTTTCCTTAATTAGTCTAATTATGTGATAAACATAGAGCTTAATTTATGAACAAGAGTCCAAATGGCAAAAAGATTAATTGTAAAGCAAACTAATTAGTGTTTTGTGACAATGTTCAATTATCTGTTATTTAATTATAACAAGGTATCCATTAATCTTTTGACAACAATAGAGCACTTTTACAGTAATACTTTTCAAATATCTTTTGATGTAGGAATATGTATAAATTAAATGAAAAAAAAAGGACTCAATCTTATGCAAATTTGTGTTATTAATTTAGAATTGTCATTTGGTCGTTCATAGACTGTATAAAATTGTACTTTGGTTTACGAAAATAAAGATATATCTATATATATATACCATTTATCCCACTTTATTTTGTTTCAAGTTTTCCTTGGGCAAGGCTTAATTTCAAAATTCTCAAATAAAAATGATTTATGTAAAGCTTGAAAAATAAATATTAAATTGAAAATCAATATGCAAATGATTTTTTTCTTAGTTAATCAAGAAATCTTAAATTCTGCTTTAGTTAATCTCCAGCAATTTGTTAAAGATAAATAGCATGTGAAAAAAGTAATGCCATGTAATGCAATGTAATGCATGAAATTACACAACTTTTTGCTAAAGTAATGCATTAAATTGCAATTACATGTAATGCCAAATTACATGTAATGCCAAAATTGCTGCATTACACATTACATGCAATTACTTGGAAAAATGTTATGTATTACCATGCATTACAATTTAGCATTACCCCATGCCTGATGTGAATACATCGAATTAAATGATGAATATAAATACTCATGTAATAACTCAAATAGGATGTAGATACCCACTTTTAGGTAGAGCCAATTCAGCGCCAAGTACCTCTGAATTTACTCCAAAACAGGGCCATACAATGTGTTGTATCACAACTTCCTGTGTGTACTTTAAGTTTCTTACAAACTGTATGTCTTTACATGATACCAAATAGAAATGTCTCAATATGTTCAAAACTGATCTAAAGCTGTCCGTCAATAATGTGTTTTCTCTAAATCATTTACAATGTGCATTAAATTTGTAATAAAATTCTTTCCACATTCAAATAAAGATTCTTTTAGATCATTATTTATTGTCTTTGATATTACAATTCAAGTTGGTTTCAATAAATTTGCATTGCTATTTTTACCCAATGAATGATACAAATCCAGAAGTTGCTGGCAATACCTCTGTAAAACATTATCGCAATCAATTTTGAATGCATTAAGCTTAGTTCGAGCACAGAATGAAATAAGTAGTGTATTTCACTTATATAAAACTATATTATGCAGTAAAACTATATTTACTGCACCAGAAAATGTCGCTTCAGTGATGATTATGACCAAAATATATGTTCATCCAAATCATGATTCAAACGATTAAAAGCTGAAATAACCGAACTGGACCAAGTTTATAGTAAAATACAGACAAAGAAATCAGAGCTATGAATTTCTAAATATTATAAAATTACCACCAGAAATTTCATGAAAATGATATCAGCATTTTAAATCAGGTATCGAAACTGACCTTCCTGACTGGTGATACCTTCGGTAACTAAAAGCACACCAGCATGTACATCGAACTCAGTCCTGATACTTCAATTCCTGATCATCCCCAGTTTTTAATTGGGTTTGTGTTGCTGAGTTTTTTTGTATGTTGTGTCATGGGTACTGTCGTTTGTCTGTTGGTCTTTTTAGCCATGGTTTTGTCAGTTTATTTTTGACTTTTGATTTTGAATGACCCTTTGGTAATTTTCGCCTCTCTTTTTAACGTTTTATTTCATTTGCGTACCCTTGTGTTCTAACAATCAGGCTACTTGTATATACAACAAAACCTTTTAGATATTTTTTTCTCCGATTGTTTTAACTATAAAATATAAATAAACGGTGTCGAACTGAAAAAAAATAGTATCTGGTCCCCATACCGTTAAGTTGAATTCAACTGATGAGGAAAAACGAAATGAAATAAAAGCAATATTAATGACTAAAAAAGTTATTCCCAATTTTTTGTATGTCCCACCTAGGTGTGTGATGTTTTTCGGTCTGTGCATCCGTTCGTTTGTTCGTCATTCCGTCCTTCCATTTCTCCATTCGTCCGTTTGTCCCGCTTCAGATTAAAGTTTTTGGTCAAAGTAGTTTTTGATAAGGTTACTTTTTGTACTAAAACAGCTATGTCTAAAAATTGACAGTGATGTCTAATAATAAAAAAAAATGTTTATAGCTCGTAAGAGATGAAATGAACAATGTAATTACCTTCATCATGATCATCAGTTGTGACAGCTTCTGTGCTAGGTGGTACTTTTAAACATCCTTTCACATGGTCGCATCTGAAATAAAGATATTTGATAAATCTGACATAATCATTTACAGTTTGTTAAGAATCGGGGTAAATAAAAGTTCGACATACATGTACACACCAGGTTGCATCTCTGTAAAAACGATAAATGCAATGCCCCATTGGAATTTCTTTTACGCTTAAAGTTGTGTCACATTAACTATAAAGTTTCAGAAAAAAATCATATCCCTCAATAAAACGTTCACATGTACTTTTGTTAAGTCCAGAAGTTAGATAATGTCCTCTTTCATAACCATTTTCATATTTTCGATAAAAAAAATTGCCAAAAATTTTGAGGATGAAAACTTAGCCCTCACATTTGAAAGATGGGAAAGGGGGGGGGGGGGGGGGGGATTTCTTCCATGTCCGTCTCCTAGGCTTCTACACACACATATATATATATAATTCGTCTAAATAACAGCCCAACAATGTGAGATCTGTAAATTTGCGGAAGCAAATTTTTGTTCTTCCCTGGCCGGGATTTATATATATACCCCTCTAAGAAAAAAAAAATACATACGTACAAACAAAAAAACCCAAACAAGGAAACTAATCACTTATACATATATGAATACCAGTAACACATTTAAGATTTTTTAACCTTCAACGACGTATGATTTATTTTGTCTCGTTTTGAATTTTTGTATCCATATATTTTGGAAACTAAATACTTCAATCTTGTTTTCGTGCTAATTGGAGTAAAGTAATATTCGGGTAGACCAAGCAATTGATCACATGACACAATATGTTTTCATTTCCCATCCCAATGTCCAAATGAGTGATAGTTTAATTAATGTTTAAACTGATCTGACGCTATCCCATTTCGACTTGCACAAATTCATTGAAGATGAAACGAAAAAAGTAATCTTCCGTATACCAAGTATGGTAGTTATTTAGACGACTCGGGCGATTTTATTCTAACAACATAGCAAACTGAAGAGAGTATCGATAATGGAAAGATTTTATGTTAAACAGTAACTTCGTACAAAGTTTATTTTATTTTAGCATTTTGGGACTTAGTTAGCATTTTTATGAATGTAATTTCTATGAACACTTTTCATATAAATCATAGTTAGAAAGCAGGGTTTTGGCTCAAATGTGTACCATAAAGTGCATATAAACTAACTGAATGCACGAGAGACTCTATTCATAAAAAGATTTCGGTTTACATCTGTACTGTTTTTCTAAAGCTGAGGGCTGGGGGCAAAGTAGTACAAGTATATTTATAGACTATTTTCATAAAAAAAGCATAATATGAATACCAAATTTATGGAAGTTTATAGGATTATCAATGCAATTCCATATATATGCACAAAGATAGCTCTAAGTTACAAAATATTGAACATGTATTAGACTAAGTATACATAGAAGAAAAAACAAAATATGTTAGTTCTGTTCATAAGATTCCACCTTGTCATTCACATTTTAACTGGAAATTAAGAGAAACTGTTTTGTGAACTTTTGTTCAGCGATCAGAGAAAAATATAACTATGTACAAACTGTTGACTATCTATGAAAGATTGGAATCCTCACCCTTACAAACAAAGTTGAAACAAACAGAAGTAGCAGTTATTATAAGCAGCATTTATCAAGAGTACGAGTTCATAAGTACCATGCAATGCCATACATAGTATGTATCAATGTTCATTGAACCCTGAAATCGTCCTTTAGCATACAATTTGAAAATTTGCCTCACATTCTAATGTGACGTCCTTCTTTCGCTGTGTTCTTAGTAGCACAAACTTATTGGTAACATTCTTATTACTTTCTTTTGTATCCAAATAAAATATATGCATTTTAGCTGCTAACATAAAGTTTATTATATATTGTCATTCAAAGAACATATGTTTACTCTGCAATTAGTTTTTAAACTTATTAAATATGAAATTGAAATGTACATACTTCATGGGGAGGAAACGTAAACAGCCAGACATTTAAAAGGTATTTTTTTACTCATAAAATTCCGTTTTTGTCCAATTAGATTGGGAAAAAAAATCTTTATGAGATGCTCTATGCTCATTTTAACATAGATAGGCATTATATTTGTTGATATTTTACACTGATCGGGAACAGTTATGGAGAATGCTTCCCTATGCAGATTCTGACAGTTCTATTCTAAAGCAGTTTTTGACTGCTCTATCTCGTGAATAGGTCTGAACACCTGTATTGTTTATGCTTATTTAATTATTTTTCTTAAATGTTTTAATTTTTTTATTTATTTGTTTGGAAAAATTATCCGTATAATTTCCCGCAAAGTTTTCGAAGATATCGTTTCTACTTTTTACTAAATTTATTGAATTTATTATTATCTGTGATAGCAGGTTTTGTTTTGTGTTTTTTTTAGTTTTATGCCATGTTATTTTTGCGTATAACATCATTCCCTAAATAATACCAAATCAAAAATATACTATTACATTGATTATGTAATTCTATAGTGTTTATTCAGGAACACTCAAGCATTCCAACTCACATCTCACATGCTATAGCCATTATGTAATCAAATCATTCCATCTACTATAAAGAGAAAGCGTAGATACCGAGGGTGAAAATTGAATATCATTAGTCAAACAGAAACAGACAACAACATTGTTAAAATTGAAAATGTTGAAAAAACAAACTGCAACAACAACAACTTAATCAAACAAATGCAGTTTGAGTTAAATGAATTCCCCATAACCCTAAGATTAAACTCAGGTGCTACGGAATTCTAAGCTATTGGTGTTTGAAACGTTGCACACATCATGCTGCTCATGTAAGTACCAGTATGTTGCATTGGTCAGTCATATTTTGTTAAGACATTATCATTGAAAATATGACAAAATGGCGTTCGCAACACTTTCAAAAGAACAACGTTAACGCTTTGAACTGTGGTAAGCAGAAAATCTCGTAAAAGGAAACCAGGATATAATACGCAACTCTAGAATATTGAATCATCTGATATATACTTTATATGTAGGCGCTGCTGGAATGTTGCTACATATAAATACAAAATTTAAAAATGGAAAATTTAAAGCCTCTTTTATCGAAAAGTTAATTCTTCTCAGCTGTATTTGTCGTACCATTTTTAAAAGGTAATTGGGATTGATGTATAGCGAAAAATGAAGCCATAAAGAATGCCAGCTTCTTTATATTCATAAAAATAACACTTTATGAATTTCGTGCATCCGAAGCGCTTTTCTGGATATACCTGTATGAAACCAAACATTTTAAATCCAAGGATGTATAAGAGATCCACACATGCAGAGCTATATGAGCGAAAGGTACCTCAAATATAGCCTAATTCATATAAGGTCAACTTTTCCTGAGGGAATTACATCTTGTGAAGGTTCAGTATGCTGCATCACTCATAAGAATAAAGTATGCAAGCATAGGGAAACAGGTTCAGATTCTTTTTCTTGGTTAAGCTAATTGTTTTGTTCTTTTTGGTTTTGCCATCCCTTCCGAATTTAGATAAACGTTTTTGATGTTTAAATATTTTTGCCTAAAGTATAACTAAAGAGACTTCAATTATCGAAATGCGTGTCGTTGCAGTAACACAGGTATCGTTTATGTTATTTTACACAATATTTTTAAATGAACAGTAGATAAACTTAATTCTGATTTTCTAAAAAGAAAGATTGTTGATAAAGTAAAATAAAAAAATAATACATAATACATAACGTATTGCAAATTAACAGGATAAGGAATTATGTAACACGATGTAGGGTGAAAAGGCAGTCCAAGCCCGAGTTCTTTCATTCAAAATGCAACAGTTCTTTATTTTTCCAAAAACAAAAAAAGTTGATAAATGTTATAGATTGGAATTGGAAACGGTTATCAGAAAAAAAAACCATGTTTAATGAGTTACTAGGTACTACAATAACCAAATTATCAACGGTACAGCATTTTACATTCGGTTCGTTATGTTAAGTCCAATAGGAGAAAACTAAGCAATCTTTTTGTTTTTGTTTGCTTCATTGTTTGAATATCAATTATCCTTTATGTCGGTGTGTAATTCCAGTTACGAAGCAAAAACAGATATGTCGGCAAACAAGAAATATTAATACACCATTTTTAATTTTTTTTATAAAGCCCCTCAAAAAAATACAATTACGCACTTATGCACCTACATATAAGCAAATACAGGCAACAGAAGTATACCGCTGTTTAAAAGTCATAAAATCGACTAAGCGAAAACAAATCAATGTCACTAACCAAAACCGAGGGAACACACCAAGTAAAAAAGCTATTACACATTAAAAAAATATGTAATTAATAAAGTCATATATATTATATTGTCAGTACCAAATTCAACGGTTTTGGCAAAAAACAAGTTTTCTAAATCAGAATTCAAATTATCTTCTCAAGCCGAGCTTGAAAATGATAACAAATCGTCGTCAGCCATTTGTACACAGTTCACCTGCACAGTTGATATAAAACAAAGATACCGAAAAACTATCATTAAATATGGAATTTGAACAATGTTTGCCATTTTTATAATTCTTTTCAATAATGAACCGGTACAACGTCGCAATAAATTATGATTTTACAAGTCTGGACAATGATTCAGAGAAGAATTATTTCACAAGCTTTTACACCTTGTCACTTGGAAAATAAATATGAGCTTAATAGGTAGGTGGACCGTATTTATATGAGTATATGAGTACGTCATAGATCAGGAATTTAAACTTCTTTAAAGGAGTTAACATTATGCCTTGTAGAACATCGCAAATAAAATGCTGAATGTTATATATGGCTAAATCAGTTTCTCATCAACTAATGAGTTGTGAATGTCCTTTTGGTACCTTCAGTCTCTCTTTTCTCTTTCTTCTATTGTTATGCCTTTGATTATACATGTAGTTACGCTTATCACATAGTTGAAGCCAACGAAGGGTCTAAGTGAATTAAAAAAAAGAATATGGTTTTTGGGTTGACAGCCGCCCAAATCATAAGCATGTTTACATTTTTATATTATGTTTTAGATAAACAATGGACAAACATAAAGATGATTTTCTAGTTAATGTTAATACACATTTTCAAATTTTTTTATGAAGACCAACACACAATCACACACTGATGCACCTACGTATATGCAAAAAGTTATTACATACAAACATATGTAATTTATAAAATCTTAGTATTGTCAGTATCAAATTGAACGGTTTTTGAAAATTGTAATTCTATAAGAGACCAAAGTAGACTAATAGGATTGACAATATTAAGATAAATTTGAACTTAGATATTACTGACGTATTCCTGCTATACCCAGTATTTGGTATCTTATCGTTTTCCCCGGTCTCATAAGACGGCTTTATAATACAAATCTGTCCATTAGTGAAATTGCCTGTTTGCATTTCCAGAATTCCTATTTTCTTGTTTAGGAAGTTTACTAGGATTTCTCTATTCTCATTTAACATATTCAGATCTGTGTAACATTCGGCCTCTGTACCATTGTCAACTTCTAAACATCCGCTGATTGTTACTTTCGTGGGTATATCTGTAATAAACAATATGTAAAAGTTCGTTATTACTATAACAATCGTTATGTACTTTTATATAGTGCACGATATGTAATTCAACTGAGCTTTAAAGAAATCCATATTTATCTCAAGTTTGGAGTTAGAGGTGTAAGAAATATATATGTGTTGGTGTGTGTTATATCCTACATCTTACTTTTTTCTTGTTGACGAACAGCTGTTCAATGGGTAGTTTAGTCGTACCATTTTTTTATCTTTTTAAGCATATCTGTTCAAAATTTTGAATATTTAGTTTAGAGCACCACTGGCGAAATAAGGAATTTAAGTTCTTCACAATTTGGTTCATCAAATTATGGTTGTCATAAAAACAGAGTTTTCCATCTGTTGGAATTCTAAGAGGCAAGAATTCATGTTACAAACAAGCAATTTAAGATACATATTCAAACAACTTTTAACAAAATTGTAAAATCAAGGACAGTAGCGAGAAAGGAAAAAAGTTAGAAACCGACAGACGTCCATACAGAATAAAGCTTTTATAGAGTTGTAACTTTGCATGTTAGATAAAACTACTTACCTATTCCGAGGTATGCTTGACGCAGGACTACATCCCCGTTGATTGTCCCACATTTTTGTTCTCTTTGTTGATATGAAGATGTTTTACATGAGACGATATTAGTGAGTGGGCCATTAGTTTTTTTATGAACACATGCTGATGTTCTTAACTTCGAAAACTCGTCAATAAACTTTTGGAAATGTTCTACATTATAAGCATTACTGAGATCAGCTTTGACATGTATACAATGAAAGCAGTACATTCCTGAAAAACAAAAATCAAACTAATTTCATATCATATAAAATAATCTTGAATCCAAATCTTTAAAACACGGCATAGTTGCAAACTATATAAACTGATAATTCATATACTGTTGTTTGACTTTTCGTAGTTTCCATTTTAATTTGCAATGGTTTTGTCGGTTTCTCTTTGACTTATAAATTGTGCTGTCCCTTTGGTAACTTCCGCTTCCCGTTTACTTTGTGACGTAAAATGTGTGAAAAACACGGAAGAAACACATAAACAATTGTTTTCGAATATGAAACATAATGACGGTCATTGGAGTAACATCAGAATGAAAAAAAACCAATTTCTAAATAAGACATTTATGAGTTAAAATATGTTCGATAGATTGTTATCAGCGTTTCTAGCATTAGTTCAGAGAGTTTGCAGTCGCGAGTTAAAACATCCTTAATAAATTCAAACACTCTATCGTAGACGCACTTACTCAACACCATATAGCCATGGCAACTAACATATTATGCAACCTAATTTCACTTTAAAGTATATCAGATATTTTACAATTATTGAATATGATAATTCAAACATCGGGATCCAAATATGTTTAAAAGCTTACCTGTTGTTCCTTGTGAAACTAAAGCCATGCTAACCAAGAAAAAAATCATTTTAAACATCATTTCTAAAAAAAATAACTATAGCAGGAAAATATATGTATTGACCGTTTTATCTTCCAAAAACGTAAAATTGACTAATTTTGAATCATCTGTTATACTTGTTTGGAATAATTCACAATTATTCGTTTAATTAAGAGAAGGAAGTACTTCAACAATAATAGATCAATCCAAATGATTTTAAACTTTTACTTCCTATTTTTTTGCTGGGTTGGTCAAAGTCCAAAATCGGCTTATAGTTTGGTGATGTTCGGTCGGGGGAAAAGTGGATACCTGATTTTTTTAAACAACAGCTCCTACATTTTCAACCCTGATCCCTTAAATTTAACAGAAAGATTGCACATATGTTGAAGTTGTATCCATGCTATTATGGAATGTGTGTTAGGCTTTTCAAAAACTTAAGGATTTGTGTTTTTTCAGCAAAATGTATGAAAGAGGGTTCAATTTTTGTGTAATTAAATTCGCCTACAGATTTTGACTCAGATTCCTGATACTTCTTATTTTTCAAGACCTCGCAACTTACTATTGAAAGAAGGTACAAGTTTTTGTAAAATCAAATCCTACAGTTTTTTAATCCAGATCCCTGAAACTTCACAGAAATGTAATGTTGAAGTTTTGCACTTGATATCATGGAAATAAACCCAACTTATCATAGACACCAGGATTACATTTCCTTACGCGAATTGTTGTGTTTGAGGAATAAAAAAAAAATATTTCTAGACGGAATCATTGATCATCAAAACTTATGAAAGAGGGTTTAGGTTTTCAATTTTTCCCATAGTTTTCAATCAAGGGCCATACGTATTCACCATTAGCAAAGATTGGTCACATTTTTAATTTGTGCAACTGCGATTAAGGAATGTTTGAAGAATCGTAAACATTCTACATTGATTAGTCACAATCTTTTAAACCCGGCCATGCTTTGACTCATTGTTTAAGTTAAATCCAGGACTTATTAGCATATGTAATTTTATGAATAGTAACAATGGGAATAATCATATTCAAATGTTTTTACAATCAAGTGTCCGTTAACTAGTATTATTCAGTATGCATTTTTAAGCCTATGGAATGTCTTCCCCCAAAACACTATGTTAGAAGTACCCCACTGTTTGGCATGTATTTGATTAGCAGAGGTGTTATTGAGGTACAAATGCAATTATCGAGGACGGAAGTCGATATTTCTACATTTGCATATTAAAAAACGTAGTAACTAAATTCATTTTCAGCTGCTCTTTTTTGGTACAGATCGACTACATGAATTATTCATGTTAGGAGTTACCTGTACTTGCAAAATTGTCAAAGAGGACAACTTTTAAACTCATAATCGACAGCTGGATTGCACATATACACATTTAGTTTTCATCTATTAATGTAAAAGTGCCATGCATCTTTTATTTAATATACGACTGTTAGAGATGTTTTGTGCAAGTAATGCATATAACGCAATCTATTTGAAAAAGAAAATTTCTATTTTATTCTCTTTTTTCAATGTTTTCTATTTGTGTGAACAAAATATTCCAACAAACATTTAACTGGCATGATTGTAACAAATATATTTGATGATGGTATCCAATAACACTATACAACAAAACTTGGAGAACAATCCCAAGAAATAAACACGTTTTACTTTACATATACAAGAAACGCAGAAATTATTTGTTAACAAGTATTGGGGAAATTTCCCCATAAAGTTGATAACCAATCAGATATCAATAATTTGGGAAATTTCCCCAAAAAGATGATGACCAACAACAAATCAATAGAATGAGGAAGTTTCCCTAAAACGATGTTTACGAAAAAGAAATCAATAGAATGATAAAATCTCCCCAAAATGATGAAAACTAAAAAGAAATCAATAGAATGGTAAAATTTCCCCAAAAAAGACGATAACCAACAAGAAGTCAATAGAATGGGGAAATCTCCCCAAAAAGATGATAACCAACAAGAAATCAATAGAATGGGGAAATTTCCCCAAAAAGACGATAACCAACAAGAAGTCAATAGAATGGGGAAATCTCCCCAAAAAGATGATAACCAACAAGAAATCAATAGAATGGGGAAATTTCCCTAAAAAGATGATAACGAAAACGAAATCACTAAAATGGGGAAATTTCCCTACAAAGTTGATAACCAAAAAGAAATCAAAAGTCTGGGGAAATTTCCCAAAAAAGATGATAACGAAAACGAAATCACTAAAATTTCATAATCAAAAATAAATCAATAGACTGGGGAAATTTCCCAAAAAAGATGGGAACGATACCGAAATCAATAGAATGGGGAAATTTCCTTACACAGTTGATAACCAAAAAAAATACTTAGACTGGGGAAATTTCTTCACAAAGATTTTAACCAAATAGTTTTCTATAGACTGGGGAATTATTCCCACAGAGATGATAACCAAAATAAGTTCACAGGCTTGAGGAAAATACTCATGCATTGCACAATGATTGCACATTCTGTTGTATACAACAGCGAGAAATATGTCGTCTAACAGATACTGTAAGAATAGAAAAGAGTCACTGTTGTGAATGTGAAACATTTTCAGCAGCAGATAACACAATTGAAAGAAATCATTGGCTGGGGAAACATTCACACTGATAAATTAAACAACAAACATCAGAGATAGAGATGATACAGTATAGGAAATGGGCTAATTTCCTCACAAACTCTTGTGTAACTGTAATCATGTATATCGGGGCCTTTAATAGGCGACTAAACAGTATGGTTTTTCTCATGTTGAAGGCCGTAAGGTTGCCATTAATTGTTAATAAAATGCTCCGCAGGGCGCAGCTTGATACGACCGCAGAGGTTGAACCCTGAACAGTTGGGGCAAGTATGGACACAACATTCAAGCTTGATACAGCTTTGCATTTGGATTGTGATTAAATATTTGACACAGCATAGGTTTCTGACACAGAATGAATGTGGTCTAAGAACTTAAAAATTTTAAATTGGACATTCACCTATAGCTATTATGGTCCAATATCCAAAATCTAAATACATGGTTAGATTCAGCATATCAAAGAACCCCAAGAATTCAATTTTTGATCAAATCAAACAAAGTTTAATTTTGGACCCTTTTGACCTCAATGTGGACAAAGTTGATAACGGGGCCCAAAAGTCAAAAATCTAAATACATGGTTAGATTCAGCATATCAAAGAACCCCATATATTCAATTTTTGTTGAAATCAAACAAAGTTTAATTTTGGACCCCGATTTGGACCAACTTGAAAACTGGGCCCATAATAAAAAATCTAAATACATGGTTAGATTCAGCATATCAAAGAACCCTAAGAATTCAATTTTTGTTAAAATCAAACTAAGTTTAATTTTGGACCCTTTGGACCTTAATGTAGACCAATTTGAAAACGGAACCAAAAATTAAGAATCTAAATACACGGTTAGATTCGGCATATCAAAGAATCCCAATAATTCAATTCTTGATGAAATCAAACAAAGTTTAATTTTGGACCCTTTGGACCTCAATGTGGACCAATTTAAAAACGGGGCCCAAAATCCAAAAACTAAATACAAGGTTAGATTCAGCATATTAAAGAACCCCAAGAACTCAAGAATAAAACCCCACTGAAATTGGTCAAGAAATAAGCAATTTATATGAAGTATCTTCTTTTGCACAATACTGTGCAATTAAATATTTCTTGCTATTGCGCAATACTGTACAATTGACAATATCTTGCTATTGCGCAATATTGTGCTATTGGACATTCCTTGCTATTGCGCAATACTGTGCAATTGAAGATTTCTTGCTATTGCGCAATACTGTGCAATTGAAGATTTCTTGCTATTGCGCAATACTGTGCAATTGAAGATTTCTTGCTATTGTGCAATTGAAAATTTCTTGCTATTGCACAATACTTATAATATAATAATTTACACATCCTGTTTGGTGTGTATCTCCTACCATAGCATTATTATTTGCTTTTAAATATAAATCAGAAATAACCAACTTAAAATGAAAAATTTTAAAAGAAAAAAAAAAGGAAAAAAAAATCCCCCCCCCAAATTTTTTGAACCCCCTTATGATTCATCACCCCCAAACTCAATCCCAGCCTTCCCTTTGTGGTATGGTACCTTGCAGTACAATTTCAGAGAGATCCATACACTTGAACACAAGTTATTGTCTGGAAACTAGAAAAATGTGTTTTTTGGCCCCTTTTGGCCCCAAATTCCTAAACATTTAGAGCAATTACCCCAAAACTCAAACCTAGCTTTCCCTTTGTGATATGGAACCTTGTAGTACAATTTCAGAAAGATCCATACACTTACACACAAGTTATTGTCCTGAAACTAGAAAAATGCTTGTTTTTTGCCCCTTCTTGGCCCCTAATTCCTAAAATATTGAGGCAATTTCCCCCATCATCAATCCCAGCCTTCCCTTTGTGGTATGTAACCTAGCAGTACAATTTCAGAGAGATCCATACACTTGAACATAAGTTATTGTCTGGAAACTAAAAAAATGCTTATTTTTGGCCCCTTTTTGGCCCCCAATTCCTAAACGTTTCGGCAATTACCCCCAAACTCAATTCCAGCTTTCCTTTTGTGATATGGAACCTTGTAGTACAATTTCAGAAAGATCCATACACTTACACACAAGTTATTGTCATGAAACTAGAAAAATGCTTGTTTTTTGCCCCTTTTTTTGCCCCTAATTCCTAAAATTTTAAGGCAATTACCCCCAAAGTCAATCCCAGCATTCCTTATGTTATATGGAACCTTGTGGTACAATGTCAGAGAGATCCATACACTAACACACAAGTTATGTCTGGAAGTTACAAAAATGCTTATTTTTGGCCCCTTTTTGGCCCCTTATTCCTTTACTGTTAGTACCGTAACCCCCAAAATCAATCCCAACCTTCCTTTTGTGGTATTGAACCTTGTGGTAAAATTTCATAGAGATCCATTCACTTAAACTAAAGTTAGAGTGCGAAAACCAATGTGTCTTCGGACGACGCAGGACGACGCCGGACGACGACGACAACGACAACGACGACGACGACGCCAACGTCATACCAATATACGACCACAAAAAATTTTTTGCGGTCGTATAAAAACCACTTAAAATGATCTTTGAGGAATAGATGTCTCATTGACAATAATACCCGATCCCCTTATTTATGAATAGCTATAAAT